CTCAATTCTATCTTTGTGGTGCTCTGGCTTTGTGACTTTGGTTCTTGCATCATCTGAAGAAAAAGGGATTATGTTAGAATTTAAGATTCTGTAAGTTTTCAGTTAATTAACATAAGTAAGGAATGGTTGATTGCATGCCAAAACTATTATAATTTTTCCTCATTACTGCTCTTCCCCACCTCCTTGTATATGATTTTAAGACAACAATAGCACAACTCTTAAAGATTTCACCTTTACCTTCCTTGTAGTAGGACACAGGGAGACTTTTAGAGGATTCTGAAAAAGTCATATTCATGCATATTAGACTGACAACAATTGAATCACTAAACCATACTTATCTCTAATATCTTTTTAGTTGACCCCACCTATAGGTTACCTTTCTATGATCAAAAATAAATAGAATGGCCGTTTCTGTAACTAGTCATAGTTATGCTGTTAATAGGAAGTCTCTGGTGTCGTGAGAGTATGAAATGTGACCTTATGATTTCAAAAGTCTGACAAGCCTTCTTAGAAATGATGACAACTGACCAAAGAAATGGTTGTTTGCTAGGGAAGAGAGGAGGACTATGCAGGAAATTTTCAGTGTAGAGGAAAAACTCATATTAAGTGTCTCTGACAAAAGAGGGCATAGTAGCTATTTATGCTACATCATGCTTTACACACCACATGCTGAGACCATGGGAGGCTTGGTTTTGTTGTCCATGCAGATGCTCTCCCTTAAGGAATGGTGCCAGGATGTCTGTGTTTTTTCCTATAGAGGATACCTCAATTAAAGTCTCTGAGAAGTCTCTAGTCCTTCAGGAATTTGTGTTGTTGCTTGTGCTGTGTATCTGCATGAGAAGCAACTTTGATCTTAAAGGATAAGGCAGAGGCAGGTCTCCAGAGAGACTTGAAGGGGAACCTAGACCTAATATTTCTTGTCTGAGTGACCTTGAAAAAGTACTTGCTACTCAACATTCTCTATTTCCGTACCTATAATCTTAGGATGGTACTAATATCTAATCCAGAGGTCATCTGGGAGCACCAAAAATTAACTTATGATGGTCAGAAACACTTGGCCAACCACCTGGCTGGCTGATGATCGTGTTTGCTAAATAATGGCTGTTTCTGTCTTTACTGTAACTTTTATCTTCATAAATTGCCTCTCATCCACTTTCTGTTGAACAATACATTTGCAGCCTTTTCATGTTTAAATGTAAAGTGCCAGATGAATGCATAATTCACTAGTTTTTCATGGGACTGTGCAAGCCTATCACATAACACACTTATTTCTTCAACCATTCTCCTAAAAATATGACTGTGGGATATGGACAGTTGTATACAAAATCATAAGTTCTGTGGATATTTGTCCTGGAAGTAACCTGAAGCCATGTAGACAGATCCTTCTGTCAGATACAAGAGATAGAATCAGAGAAGTAGAATCTTACTAGCAATGCTGACAAAATAGACTCAAAGAAGAAAAACTTCTGCAGGAAGAGAATTTTCCTCACTTTATGCTGCATGATAAAATAAGTTCCTGTTGTTCGACATACATATGAATCAGTGAGATGGTCTCTACATCTACAGTTAGGTGACAAACATGGGGAGAGGGAGTTTTATATCTGTTCTTCTGCAAGAGAAGCTTCTTTTATTTCTCTCTGAAATATGTCAGCTTGGATTATCAAAATTTTAGTGTGGAGGTTGACTGGGACATATGGAAATTATTCCATTATTATACCTTCACATTCACCCACACATACCCTAGTGTCAGGTGTATTCTGTAACAGGGAAAGCAACAGTCAGGGCACAGCTTAAAGAATTTCACAGAGACTCACTGAATGGGAAGACACCTTTGTGTTCACATGTGGCTTGTAATCTAGTGAGGAGAAATGTTAAATAATTGAATTAGAAAATATAGAGGTGATCAGAACTACAAAGAAAAGTATAATAAGAACCTTGTGATTGTCATGTCCAAAGATATGGTTTTTTATTCCTTATTTTTTAGCCCACAGGAGACATTGATAACTGGTTGGGACATTCTTTCCCACAAAACCTAGGCATAACTTCAGAACCCTTTTTAACACATCCTCCAGACAGCCATTACTAATCAGTTGCACTTGGCTCATAAGACAAAACCTGTTGGTCATTCAAGATCTCATTCATTCCCTAGCCCTGCCTACATCATGCCCTCTTTATGAAGACTGGGTTTTATAGAGACACATGTCTCAAGACGCCTCAGAGGCCAAATTACACCTAAGTCCAGCTGTATATCAGGTTTCTACCCTGTGTGAACATGAAGTGAACTAGGTGTTATCAAGAGGGCCTACTCAAACAGTAGCCTCTCTGGGACCCGTGAGCAGGTCTAAGTTTTCTGTGTTCTATTCTGAGGTTTCTGCTTAGAGGTCCAATCTGTGTAGGGTATTGCAAGTTATAATTTCTGTTATTTAGAAGCTCTGATAGGAAAGTTGTTCTTTGTTCTCATGAGTTATTTCTTGAGGAAAGTACATGTTCTGTGGAGAGATTGAGGGCAGTTTAAACTGAAGACATCACCACAAAGGCCTACTCTCTCATTTTCCTCCCCAGGATTTCTTCCCATGTGTTTACATGGGTGAGTCCAAAATAGGGGTTTCCTGCTTGAGCAAGATAAAATTCAGAGAGTCCAAGAGAGGGATGGGGAGAGAGAGAAAGAGAAAAAAAGAGAGAAAGAGAGAAGCACCTCCCCCCCCACTTTTTTTCTAGAAAAGCCTGTCAAGTCCAGCAGTGTATGCAGGACTTAACTTTGGTATTTGTTTTACAGTTCATCAAACATTTGTAATTCTCATGGCCCCCTGTGCATTTCACATGACTTAAGCTGTGATTCAACACAAATGCTTTCCTAAGGAAACATACATTTATCATTTCATTAATGTTCATGTCTCCAAGGTTTCTTTTCCATTATATCAAAAGATGTTTAATATGCAAGATACTTTTCTTTAAGCGATTTCTCATTTTAGCTCAATTTCTCACCTCTTGGTATGTGGGGTGGGTTTTCTTTTCTGAATTCTTAAGGAACACTGGAGAAATGTGTACTTCCTTTCTGAATAGTAGCAGTCAAATGTAGAAGGAAAGAATAGGAAAAAATGCTTGTTTTTCATCTTTTTAAATTGGGAGCTCTTTAGGGATTAAAGTGCTTAGAAATTCAGTGTTGGAGAAATATCTGAGATCCAAGAAAAGTATAGTGTAGATTTGGATGGGTGCCTTCTCCTTTTGCTGACCCCAACCATAGGGGAAGGGCTTTACAATTGTTCAAGAAATTGCTGTGGACTGGAGATAACTGAAGTATTAAAGCAATCCCTAGCCTGTGTAAGACTCTGAGTTTGATCCCTCCAACTGCATGGACTCTAAGCACCATTCTGTGCATCCCTGGTAGCTCTTTGGCACCTCCAGAATTTGGATCAACCTTTGCTGGGAGTGAACTATATTTTTTAAAAATTTCCTGGACTGTAGCAATAACAGTGGGTAGGGCGTTTGCCTTGCATGTGGCCTACCTAGATTCGATTCCCAGCATCCCATATGGTCCCCTGAGCACCACCAGGAGTAATTCCTGAGTGCTGAGCCAGAAGTAACCCCTGTGCATCACTGGGTTTGACCCAAAAAGAAAAAAAAAATTCCTATTCTTAGGGCAAGTGAACAGACTAAGAATAGGAAAAGCAAAATATTCAATTGGGACCCTAGGATACTTGATCTAGTTGTCTTGCATTTTTTTCAAACACATCTAAAATTATAAAATCTAGAGATACAGTTTCTCTAATCATAATTCCCAAATATTTGTGTCCCAAGTGTGTAATTTGAGTCAAATTTGTTCCTTAAGTCGAGCAACCCAGTTTTATTCTTTATTATCTATGAGACAGTGTCTAATTACTCTTTGTTTAATTTGATTTTCATCTGTAAAATGAGAACAATTAGGCTGCCTAATATTGGATTGCTGTGTTAAATGAAATAATGCAAGTAAAGAGCTTTAATGGAGTATCTGGTGACAAGTTCACACTCAATAAAAGTTAAAATGATGGAAATCCTAATTTTTTTCTAAGAAAGTTTTTATTGAGGTGTATTTGGGATTTAATACAATAATGTGAATTCCATTCCAGATTAGAGCACTGCTTTTTCTGAAAACTGAATGTTACATTGTCGATCACAAATGTTGTGGCATTAAATCATAGTCTTATAATTCTAATATAGAAAAATGAACAAATATTCCTTGTAAGTATTCATCTCTACCCACATCCATAGAATTTCAGTTTCTTGCCTATGATATTGGGAATTTTATTATGATTTAATTTTATAGGTTAATTTACTGCTTTGCTGTTCTTAAAATATCGGCTTTAATTCAAATAAACAAATCTTTATGCATGTTTCTTAACCAACAATAAAGAAACATGTCAGTGTGGTACAGAGCAACAAAAATCATCTTTACAAACAGCATTCTTCTGTTCCCTAGCTATATGTATAATAGGATTTCTCAACTTTGGGGCATGCTTGACCAGAGTGGGGGTGGTGCTGGTGGTAGAGCTGTCCTGTGCATTGATGGATATTTAGCAGAATACCTGGCCTTTACCCAGTGGAAGCCAATTGCTCTCAATCTCGCCTTCCCCCAGTTTTGAGAGCTCCAAGTGGATTTACAGGTGGGAAACTTTTGGAACACAAAAATAAAAAACTGGACCTTATACTTTGGACCACTTGTAACAAACAAAACCTCATTTCAGCCTTGTATGTTGCCAAAATGACTAGGTGTGGTAATTTCCAGTATGTGATGTCAAGCTTTCCAATTATCTGTTCATGTTAGATAGCAACAAGTTAAATGACCAATGCATTACAGCTTTCTTTGAAAAAGTGATTTGACTTTAGTTATATTCCCCATTTTCTCCTCATTTTAATCTTCTTACTTTCTAATTGCAGCCAAATAAAGTTTATAGCTAATCTTCACTTCACATTTAATGATCACTTTTTTCTTTCTTTTCTCCTCTTCCCTCCTTATTTTCCAGCTCCCTCAGGCACAAAAGGTAAACTCTTTGCCATCACATTCCCAGTCATTCCTAAAACTCACAGGTCGTGCATGCTTCCATGGTCTTGTGCCTTTTAGCACTGTTTATGACCAGTGAAATGGTTTTCCTTTCACAATTTCAGAAACCTGAAATAGGACAGAAGCAGAAAGTCCAACAAACTCAGTAGTCTACTGTCCTCCTGCCAAGACAGACACACCAAAGAATTTTATTGTGGCCACTGATATGGGAATGAATTCTATGCCCAAACATTTTGCTAACAATTCTGAATTAACAGGTTAAGAGTATATGTGGCTCATTTCTTCAGATGTTATTCTCCGTTCTGACCTAGGAAAATAATTCCTAGGAACACGGATGTATGAGTAACTATTAAAGTCTAGAGACAATGTTTAGATTCTGGGCTTTTAAACTGAATCCCTGAAAACTTCCTTGGGTTTCATTAATTGCAAAGTCAGCAGCTCCTTTGCTTTCTTTTCTCCCATACTAGCTGGAGAGCCTTAGAATAGTTCTTGCCTATGGCCAGACCCTTTCACTGGTCCTCATTATCTGTTGAAAATGATCTGGTTCCACCACCTAGACTATTTGTAGAGAAAGATTCCATGTGATTTAAGTCCTGGTTTTGCTGTACTGTTCCCATAGCATGTCATTGTATCCTAAGGACAATCATGTCAGAGAACATGTCGTGTGATGCTTGCATTGTTCTTGTGTTTTTCACAAACATAAGCAAGATCTGCAGTTTCTGGGGGCCAGATGTAAGTTGGTTTCATTTCCAGAACTGAGGTAGGGCACCGCCCTAAATTTAAGCAGAACCTCTCCAGCGCTCCAAGTTTGGAGCAGAGATAATTTGGTTCCTTCTCATTGAGAGAGCAAACATAACTCCTCTACAAAAGACGGTCTGTTCAGACCATATGGACAACCAGAGGCCTAGAAATCATTACACAATTACTCAAATATATTTGAGATATTTAAACAAGTCAAGACATGCTAGTGTGTGACTTGGCTTGTGGTAATGTTTGATTACACTTCAGTGCCATCACAAAAGGACTGAACACTTCATTAAAACTTAAAGTATTTGAGTAGAGAAACAGCTTCCAGGGTAAATATATGGTCAGAATTTCAGATTATCTGGAAGCCTCGGCATCTTTGATAGGTCATGCTTTCTTAATTGCCCACATTCGAAACTTCATTGTAAAGAGACTTAATAAATTCAGTGCCTGAAGTAGATCAGCCTCAACTTACTGGCATTTATTCATCCATTTTCCACTGATCCATATACAAAAGCAGTCTGTTGTAGAAGATGCTTCATGAATTTGGGGTGCCATCAGACATGGAATTTTAAAACAAAGTTCAAAAGAAACCAACACAGAATATGGCAAGAGCAACTGTTGCTGAGCCATATGAGTCTTCAATAGCACTTAGCTCATCGCCCTCTTTCTTTCTTCTGTCATCATACATTGACTCACATCACATGCCCTGCAAAGGGAAGCACGTTATTGTGATTATGAAAAGTTTAGAAGTGAGGAAGATGCTCCATTGATGTTAGACCACTACAGAACTTATTCTGTAGCCTGTATGGCAAGGAATAGCTCTGACTTTCCATTTTTCACCATGGTTTTACATTGTCTTCTTTCTTCTAAGGTAGGGAAAGTTAGTTTTTTTTCTTACCAAAAAATAAATAAATAAAATAAAAATAGAAAAAAAAATTGTGAAATGGTTTTCTAACTTTTAGGGTAGTTTCTCAGCCGTTAAACTTTTTAGAAGACTTTGGCCCTAAACCTCAGGTATCTGGAAGATGAGAAGAACCGAGAAGATTGAATGCATGATCTTCTGTCAGAACACAACTATGATTAGGAGCATTCCTGCTCCTCACACACCTGTCTTCCTCAACCTACTATTTTCAAGGAAGCCTTTGCTAGGTTACAGTTCTTACAACCATCAATTTCCTAAAATTATTCTCTTGCTACTTTCCCACCAAAGGAATATTGTGGGCTTCATGCCATTTTCATCCACCACTTGTAATCAGGAGCATATTACCAAAACTCAAGCCTAAGGGTTCTGGTTTATCTAAAAAGAATAAAAGGCTGTGGGGCTGGAGCGATAGCACGGTGGATAGGGCATTTGCTTTGCACATGGCTGACCCAGATTCGATTCCCAGCATCCCATATTGTTCCCCGAGTGCCAGGAGTTACTCCTGAGTGCATGAGCCAGGAGTAACCCCCCTGCCTCGCCAGGTGTGACCCGAAAAGAAAAAAAAGAATGAAAGTCTGAGTTTCCAGTTTGGTTATAGAAGTTTTTCTCTTACTTGTGCCTAGAATATGCTAGAACATGAGTGGAACACTCACAGAATTTAGAAGTTCTACTGTTTTTTACTTAGTGTAGCTCCTGAAGCGCTAGAACAGATCCAGAGAGCAGTCACATGTGTTGTGGTGTTCTCTAACCTCTGTGGTGTATTTTGGTTACGACTTGAACTTGATTTGTGTAAACACAATAAGACAAAATTTAGTGGTCCTTCTATTTCTGTCAAAGCTCTGAGTGTTACCTGATTGCCCCTTCTTTATCAACAGGAAGTCAGAAAGAAATTCAGATTGGGCTTGAAACTCCAACAGAGCTGAGGATTTTAGAAAAAAAAATTGTTCTGAGATATTTTCTCCCAAGATGTTGACATTACCCATAAATTTCACCTATCCCTGGGCATGATTACAGTAAGCCCCAACAAACCCCAGTGTTTGTTGTTATGGGGGCAAAAGGGAGGCATCTCCAGCTGCTACATCTTTGGCCTGCTTTTCACATGAGGTCATGAGTGCATACATTGGACCATATGGTGTCTGCATTTATGCTATGTTTTTGTTGGAACTCTCTTTGTATCATCTGCAACTGGTTTTCCTATAAATATTTAAAATAGTTATGTCTCTGTAAACATGCTTATTTTAATCTCTTGGCTGATCTACAACTAAAAATGTCCCATTTGGGTGTCCCTCCTAAATGATCAGTCATTAATGATTGTTGTCTATAAGTTATTTTTGTCATATTTGAATATTTTGAAGGTCATCCAAAACCTTTCTAGCCCTTCATGTTTATTTTATAAAGCAATTCCTTGATAATATAATTTTACTTTTGTGTTTTATGTGATTCTAATTACCTAAGAGAGAATATTTAGGCTATACATTTTGGTCTGGATGTAACTTTTGGTTTGTACTACTGGCATATACCAGGTCAATGTTAAATACATAAGCATTTTCTCAATGTCATGGTTACAAAACATTGTGCAATGCAGATCTGATACCTTTAAACATCACAAATACTTTTTTTGTTTGTGGGGGGGGGGGTTGTTTGTTTGTTTTCTTAGTGAAATTTAATAAATTCCTCTAGTCCTTGGAGTCAACAATAAAGAAAGTTCATAAGTAAAAAAGATTAGTCTTTTTCCCTTACATGGTACTTCTTGACTTACACAGAAACATCTGGAAAATCCCATTCTATAACAATAATGTAGCAGAACTGCTCCCAAACATTTGTAAATGTATATTCAATAGCCATACATACATGGCAAAAACAGTTCATTTTTCATATTGAATATTCATTCAAGTAGCTTCTATCAATAGGAACTGCATGGTTACTTTTATCACTATAGAGTGGAGCTTGAATTTTAAAGACAAAAATACTCTGGAGTTCGCTATTGATGTGAATTAACTTTCCACTCCCCCAAACCCCCTTTCCTTCATTTTGTGTTGCTTTCACCCAATTTTGGAGTTTGCCAAAGGGAATTTATTGAAGATTTTGTAGACACTCTATGTCTTGCCTGGCACTATATTAGTTAATGTCAGCCTGAGAATTCTGAGCAGACATAAGCATTTTTCTCAAAACCATAGTTAAAGCAAACCACATCTCTAATCCTGTTTGGAACAGCAATTGATGCATTCAGGGCTGCACAGTATGGCAAAACTATCCCTGTTTAAGAGCCCGACAGTGTGTTTTGTTTCCTGTTAGGAATAGCTTAACTTGCCTTCTTGAACAAACACAGCAGGGTTCAAGATCTGTTGTTCTATGCCTGCTGTGATATTCTGTGCTGCTTAACTTGTATGAGAACTCAGAAGTGCATAAATTAGCTTCTTAAATGGAGGGCGATTTTTGTTTTTTCTTTTAAAATGGACTATTTTAGTAATCCCTGACCCCCTACCCCCTTGTAAATGGCATTCTGAATTCATTTGCATTTTCTTTGTTTCCTTGTTTATATTATATTTAGAAGGAATAAATGGGCACATTCCAATATCTAAAGTTTTTCTTTCTGTCTTTCTGTTTCCCCCCTTTCCTTCTTTGTCTTGTTCTTTAGATACAAATTGTATATGTAGAATTTGACCTCCTCTTATCTGAGTGTAATCAGATTCAAAAATTGTGGGACATCATTTATCTTGTGCACCTCATTTAACTTCTCTACTTTTAAATGTTGAGTTAACTGTAACTGAAAATAGAAAATCGAAAGTTTTCAATACTGCTGTTTTCACAGAACTGTAGGTCTAGTGACTTTAGAGTTTCATTACAGTTCTATAAGCAGTTAAATCAATGTAAATGAAGAACAAAACTGTGAGGTGATAATTATTTACATTTAGTTCTAGTTTATGACTAAATTGCTTTTGCATTTATATGCTTTGTTATATCTTATTTTGAAAATCTGTTTTTCCTCCCTATCATTTATCAAGAACATATATAGGTGTCTTTTATATGCAGTCCCAAACTGGATTCTACTCAGAGTCTGTGAGTAGCAGCACCCTGGATTACAGTTTAAATGAATAGATCTGTTTTATGAAAAAGACACAGGAAATAAAAACCAGAGTAAGTTCAATCACTCCAGCTCTTTCTGTGGTCAATAGGATAGATTCTGTGGAAATATGAATTACAACATACTGTTGACACACAATGACAATTGCAAACCCAAATTTGAAGGGTTCTGTATGTCTCTGTGGCAGTCCAGATGAGCAGCATAACTGTCCAGGAATAGCTTTGCA